ATATGCCGCCACAAATAAAGTGCAAGTCTGTGGGAAACACCGCTTTTGTTATGAATATTCAATATTTTAATTTGAATGTCGGATTGAAATTAACATTGCTGTAATTAGAGTAGTTAATCATTAACATAAGCACGGCTAACGCTAATATAATGAGCATTAGAATGAAGTTTCTTTATTAACTATTTAATGCTCCTATAACTTTTATTAGGGTAAAAAAAAACAGGAGGACATGATGACATTTACTATTTTTACACAACTGAGACTTTTAAATGAATTGTGAATCTAAAATATGCATGTTAGAGAATGTACAAATGGTTAACATTGTTTGTCATATCAGTCAGAAAAGCAGTTCTGGGCTTTTTATTTATTTATTTTTTAGTTAACTTAGTTATTTGTTATTCTTGGCTGAATAACTCAAAGGGTTTTAAATATATAAATATATATGTATAGTCAAATTTTTTAATTAGCATGTTTTTGTGTTTTGCTTTGGTACCGAAATTGGTACCGAGAACGGTGGATTTTCACTGGTATTGGTACCGAATACTGAAATTTTGGTACCGTGACAACACTAGATCTGGCTAACATAAGCCAATAGTCAAGGGATTTTATAATGCGGATTCCCATCTGTCTCAGAAGGGAAAGAGCTGCGTCCATGCACTTCATAAAAGTGTGCGGGGTCAGCGACAGTATGAACAGTAGGACTGTATATTGATAACCCCTTCATATATGAATCTCAAGAAAGGTTGTTGATGAGGGTCTATCTGGATATGAAAGTAAGCATCTTCCAGATCCACCAATAAAAAAACAGTCCCCGGGGCATATTTGCACAAGGATCTGCTTTAAAGTCAGCATCTTGAAAGGCCATTTCATAAGTGCGTGGTTCAGATGCCTGAAATCGAGAATGGACCTGAGGAGAATGAGAGCATTGATGTCCCGTACCAAAGTTTGGATAATACCAATGAAGCGAGGTGGCCTGCGAGGAAACATCCCTATTTAATGGTTTTTAGAACCCCTCTTGACACATCCGGAATGGCTTTCCAAGCCTGGAGTCGGACGGCAAGTGGTCTGAGTTTTTCGAGTGGCACGTTGCTGCAAGGAGGCAGGGAACTAGCTCTCGTGGTAGTGGGAAGATGAGAAGTGCTCTTTTAAATATGTCGGTCTGCTGTCACAGCAGTAGTTTGTTTGGGCACATGCTGAGTAAGAGGGACGAGCCCAGCTTGAATAGAACTTCCATCGGCCAGAGCTAAGTGGGGGAATGGAGAGCAAGTGCGAGACTTCTTTGTGGGTAGTCCAGCCTCGGCGGGAACTTACCGTCTCCTCTTCCTCTGTGCGTTTGGATCAGGATGGCTTCTGAGGCTCAGGGTCCAGCACAACTCTAGGGCGGGGACCTTGGTGCTTAGTAAACGACTAGTGTCTAGCTGCCAGAGGGTGCTGCTGAAGCCCAGGCTCAGATTTAGGCTGAAGCCTTGTGGCGACTTGTACCAGCTGCCGAACTGGAGCATTTCGGCAGGAAGTGAAGCATGCCCTGCAATGACTTCTGTGCTGCCGTAAATCTCTCAGCAAAAACATCCACGGCAGGGCCAGATAGTCCCTTGGGATAGCTGTGGAATCGAGGAAGGCGATCTTGTCAGAATCCTTGATCTCTGTTAGGTTTATCCAAAGGTGGCACTCCAGCTCCACCAGGTTGGCCATGGCCTTGTGCAGTGGCCTTTGTACTGTGCAGAGCCAGGCCAGTCGCTATGCGCAGCTCCTTAGAGGCATTGGAACTCTGGCTAGACTCATCCATGGTGTGGAGAAGTTTGGCCTGAAAAACTTGGATCAACGCCATCGTGTGAAGTGCTGAGCCAGCCTAGCCAGCCACTGAATAAGCCCTGCCTGCCAGAGCGGAGGTAGCCCTGCAGGGCTTAGATGGGTGTGCTGCATGGACCTTCAATCCCAGGGCTGATGGAGGGCAGAGATGTGTGGCGACCACCTCTTTGAGAGGGGAAAGCTTGCAATAACCTCTTTCTAAAGAGCTGTCAACAGTGGTGAGAGCGGCAGAAGTGGAGGAATGAACACCTGCCTAAGTAGGGTGCGTGCCATGTCCTGGGCTGCGTCTCCCAAAAGCATTGTAAACTTAAGTACATTGTAGACCCATTGAAACTAATGGAGCTACGATCAACTTTGGCTTACGATGCTTTTGGGAAACACAGCCCTGATGAGTTTGTCGTGAACCTCCGGGAAGAACGTGGTGGGCCATTGGCAGGTGGATCGTTGACAGCATCCTTGCAGGTACCACTCGTCTAAGCTGCCATGGGCGGGCTCTTCAGGAGCTGACCAGTCCAAGCCGAGGTTCTCCACAGCCTTAGAAAGTGGATCAGCTTGCTGTCCACACTGGGCGCGTTGGATCTTCGTCGGAACATTCCCGACAGACCCACCAAAGAAGATCAAGCCGCTCGCAGTTGACGAGAGGCGCTGATCATAACTTGTGAAATACACAGACGAGTCGAGGAGTTGGGGGGAGAGTGAAGCACGCGGGACCTGTGCCAGTGTAAGTTTACTCAAGCAGGATGGTTGAGTCCCGTTGCCCCGCTGTTTCTTCCTCCTAGGCTTCTGGGAGGGAAGAAATGGGAGAGAAGACCGGGGAGGACTGCCTTCATGAAAAAAGGCAGTCCGTGAGCAAAGCAGGCTGAGACTCATGCTCTTGCAATGAGAGTACTCTGTCCAGGTGAGCGCAGCCTCAGCGTGAGTGCTGCCCAGGCAAGCAACGCACTCACCTTGCCCGTCTGAGTCATGCAGGGAATGAGCCACACTTACGGTATGACGTTTGAAGCAATGTCGCTAGGAAATCTGCTGGAAATTTGCTCAGAAATTTGTTCGCCGGTTGGCTTCTTCCTTCTGTTTCTTCCTTCTTCAGAATTCAGCGGGGAGTTGATCTTCGCACTGAAGGAAAAGGATTCTGACGACATGGTGCTCACAGCCAACTTATATAGTAGTCGGCTCCACCCCTTTTGGCGGTTTGAAGTGCCATTTGTTTGTACAGCTACACGAACGTGAACAAATCAGGCTTCAGTATTCAGAGTAAACAAGAGTTTCCACATAGCGTGCAACGCAACGGAAGAGACCGTTCGAAAAAATAAATATTTGTAGAAATAATTTAATATTCATTGTTTTTTGTGATGTCATACCACATGATATCCAAATGTGGTAACTACATACCAGCCATTAAAAGATAATATTTTTCCCCAAATTTGTGAGAGAGTTACAAACCTGCTTGATGCTTCCATGGGTCAGTAAGAAAATTGGTATATGATGCAACATCCTGTCTTTGAATGGATTTCAACATAAAAAACAAAGAAGTTATGGCCAGACTGGCACACCACATGATATTTTCACACTTTAAATGACAGAAAAATTACAAATAACTAATGTTTTTTTGAAAAGGGAGAGGTACTTAATCAATCAATCAATCTATCTATCTATCTATCTATCTATCTATCTATCTATCTATCTATCTATCGTCTGTCTGTCTGTCTGTCTGTCTGTCTATCTATCTATCTATCTATCTATCTACATGCCATGATTGCATTGTTGATATTAGTGAATTTGCTTTGCTTTTTAGGTTACCGTGAGTGACCACAATGGATCTCCAGTCCATAATATTCCTGTTAAAATCAGCTTTCTTGAAAGCCCAATCACTGTACACAGTGGCACCATCAAAGTCTCCATCAACATGCCTGAGAAGTACAGCTCATATGGTGATTCACAGATACTGAAGTTAAGTCACTCACAGAAACACATACAGAAACAATACAAAATTGTGTTATAGCTGTCTGCTGAATATTGTATTCTTATATTCAAATATACTGCATTCTTATATAGGTGGAGACAGCAGATCCTTCACTGAAACCAGAACAGCAGGCTGTTCAAGAGATGCGTGTGGAGTCATATGTCTCTTTTATCAGCTACAGGAGGAACTACCTGCACATCTCAGTGGGCAACAGTCCAGTGGTGGTGGGCAGCACACTCAACATCCAAGCTCACATCAAATCTAGCCCACCAGAACGAAGAAAACTTGTGGAGCAGCTGACGTATGCTGTGAGTTTGTCTCTGGGGGCATTTTGGGATATTATGAGAATGACTTGAATCTCTGTATTAAATACACTGATGATTGTTTCTGTAGGTGTTAAGTAAAGGAAACATAATCCACGCTGCTAGGATGAATGTCAAAGACCTGGTCGTCATAAACATTCCTCTGCTGATTACCTCAGAAATGCTACCTGCGTTTCGCTTTGTGGCCTACTACATTTTGCCATGGCAGCATAGTCCAGACGTGGTGGCAGACTCTGTGTTTGTGGATGTTGAGGACCGGTGTGTTGGTTCGGTGAGTTCATGTGGCATCCATGACCAATTATTAACAGTAAAGATGCACATTCTAGCGCTTTATGGTACATTTGGGGGCCAAAAACTGAATTATTATTTAAATTATGCTTCTCCTACCATGAGAGTCTAATCTTGGCCTTATTATATAGCAGCCAATTTGAATTTTGTTAAAGGGGATATTATGCCTATTATGCTCTTTTACAAAGTCTTGATCTTGTTTTGGGGGTGTACTAGAACAGGCTCTCATACACAAAACACATTATTTTTCACATATTTTAAATATTGCGTCAAAATCAAATCAATTTGAGCGCGATTTAAACCCGGATGATTGTAACCACTCTAAGTTCGTCTGCCTTGGGAAAGCTAGCGTGTCTCCGACATAGTGATAACACTCGTTGCCTTCTCTAGTGCAGCTCAACCAGGTCTCGTCCCATTCGTCCATATTTGTGATATCACAAATACCAGAAAATATGCGTTGTACTCCAAACAAGTCGTTCGTTGTAGTTTTTGAAAAGTTTTGTTAAATAAAATATCTCCTTTTGAATTGGACTTTGAGCTTTGTAACTTTGCAGATCTTTTTTATGCTCAAACAGCAACATTACAGACTAACTAAAGTTGAAAAAGTGAAAAAGCATAATAGGACCCCTTTAAAACTCACGTACATTTATTGTCGGCGCCGATAGCCTTATGGGCAGCATGCCGACATACAGCGCCATTGTGCTACGGGCTCGAGGACCTTTCCCAATCCCGCCCCCCTCTCTCTCCCACTTCGCTTCCTGTCAATTCTCATCTGCCCTATCACAATAAAGACAAAAAATGCCAAATAATAATAATAATTAAAAAAAAACACATGTACATTTATCTTTTTCCCAATTCACTTACATGTTTTTGATAAGAAAAAATCAGAAGGCTTAAAGAGAAAAAAAAATGTAAAGAAAATAAATACATTTTCTAAATGTTACCATGCAGATTAAAAATAATAATGATATTTTATTCAACAAGGATGCATTAAGCTGATCGAAAATATGCGTTGTACTCCAAACAAGTCGTTCGTTGTAGTTTTTGAAAAGTTTTGTTAAATAAAATATCTCCTTTTGAATTGGACTTTGAGCTTTGTAACTTTGCAGATCTTTTTTATGCTCAAACAGCAACATTACAGACTAACTAAAGTTGAAAAAGTGAAAAAGCATAATAGGACCCCTTTAAAACTCACGTACATTTATTGTCGGCGCCGATAGCCTTATGGGCAGCATGCCGACATACAGCGCCATTGTGCTACGGGCTCGAGGACCTTTCCCAATCCCGCCCCCCTCTCTCTCCCACTTCGCTTCCTGTCAATTCTCATCTGCCCTATCACAATAAAGACAAAAAATGCCAAATAATAATAATAATAAAAAAAAAACACATGTACATTTATCTTTTTCCCAATTCACTTACATGTTTTTGATAAGAAAAAATCAGAAGGTTTAAAGAGAAAAAAAAATGTAAAGAAAATAAATACATTTTCTAAATGTTACCATGCAGATTAAAAATAATAATGATATTTTATTCAACAAGGATGCATTAAGCTGATCAAAAGTGACAGTAAATACATCTATAATGATAAAAGATTTCTATTTCAAAGAATTCCATTTAAAAACATTTTGTGACCTTTTGAATTTTAGTGTATATAAATGATTAAATAGATAATAATTAAATAAATAACACAAAAATAATAAAAAATACTAAAAATATGTAAAATAAAATTTTCAGAGTTGCAGTAATATTAATTTAAGACCTATGAGCATAATATTTATTATATTAGTTCCAAAATATCTCATAGATGTGTCTGCTTCTGGCTTTACTTTACTTTCACAAGGATTACTTTGGAAAAAAACACCACAATGATTACTTTATTAGCATAAATTAAAGGTGCAAAAGGTGATTGTCTTCAGAAACATTTTTTGTTATGCTGGTTGAAAGTCTCTTCACATCCTGATAGCAATCATTAAGTTAAGTGGTCTAAATGTATTTATATATTCTGTGGAAGGCGTAGGACCAAGAAATGTTCGTCCAATCAAAATGCTAGTTCCGAGCATTTTGATTGGCTTTCCTACCTGCCTGTCAACATATGTATTTGCATACCTCTGCGCACCATGTTGGCGCAGACAGGATACGTCATCAGTGTGTTCACGTACGCTGTGCAGACAGAGCGAGAATGGCTGACAAACATCAACAACCTGATCTTCCTTCCTGGTATTGTAAGTACTGTTACTAACTGTACTATGAAGTTTTCTCACCGGTGAATGACACATGATGTGACACAGACGTCTGGTCTATGAGCGTATATGCGTTCAGGGGGCGTGGCTTTGGACGGCGATTTGCAGGAAGGGTGGGACGTACGCTTTCAGTGCTATCAGGCTAAAGCTAGCATTTTGCAAGATGTCCTACTGCACCTTTAAGTAAAATAAGTATAATTCAATTTTTTGTATTTGTGATTTGTATTAGCTCAGTGTAGGTCCAGTGGAAGGAGAAAAAGCCAATTCGTACTCACCAGGCAGCAGCATTACATTTGAAGTGAAAGGAGACCCAGGGGCAAAGGTCAGCCTGGTTGCTGTGGATAATGCCATCTTCCTGTTGAGTAAAAACCGTCTGACGCAGAAGAAGGTAAGTGATGATATAGTTTTCACTCCAGAACCTTCTCCAGAGTCTCGTGGATACTCATATCTCTGTTATTCAGGTGTGGGAGGTGGTGGGTCAGGGTGATATGGGCTGCACCGCAGGAGGAGGCAGGAATAATATGGGTGTTTTCAGTGACGCAGGACTGATGTTTCATTCCAGCACAGGAGCATACACGGACTACAAAAAAGGTCCTTCACATGCATTTACATTTAATATACAGTATTTCTTCTAAAATAAATGTAATTACTATGGAGGCTTGTCTCACAATTCTGTTTTCATTTTTTTTCAGGATTCTTTGATTTCTACTGACGTTTATTTGAAGTAGAAATATTTTGCAACTTTATAAACATCTTTACTGTCACTTTTGCTCAATTTAATACAACCTTGGTGAATATAAGTATTAATTTCTTAATAATAAAATCATACTGACCCCAAACTATTGAACAGTATTTTATATAAAACAAATCCAAAGTTTCAGAATTAGGTGAAGCTAATGAGGATAGCAGCAACACAAAATCTCATGAAATGGTTTTTACATTTTAATTTCAAAATTACAAATGTATCATCAAAAGTCCAGAAGGAATATATTTATTTTGGCAGTACACTGGCATACTTTGCAAATGCTGTTAGTTAATAGATTAATGTTAACTATTAGCCATATAGCTTTAGGCTATACAGCCTTTTTAAAATTTTGCCAATAGTTAACAAAACAATTTATTGTCGGTTAAGTTTAATGCATTGTTACACCAGTGATACCAAATATCATTGGGATTACATTGAGATGCGCTTGAGGGTGAACTTGAACTACAACATCCACATTCCATTCGCCGTTCTTGGTTTCCAACTAGTTGATTGCTGGGACGAAATGTTCATCCTCTTCATTGCGATTGTGACTGTAATCTTGCACTCAGTCTAGTTCAATAGGCCTCATTTTACCAATCCAGTCAACTCCCATAGAAGAGCCATTTTTGGTTTCCCAAAGAACCTGTCAACGAACAGATCCATTCCTAAAAGATCCATTTATTTCTTAATGTGAAGAACAATTTAAAAATTTGAAGAACCTTTTTCAACTATAAAGAAACTGCTGTGCATTGGAAAGATTCTATGGATGTTAAAGGTTCTTCATGGAACCATCAATACCATTAGAGAACCTTTCATTTTAACAATGTATTTTCTTTGGTTTGTTTGGAATAGATTGTTCCAGTAGATCTAGAAGAAGACGTTCTGCTGCCAAACTGCAGCTTAGAGAGCAACTGGGTGAGTTGGCGTCCTCATTAGAAATCCTTGAAAATTTGGTATGTTACAGTTTGTTAGAGAAGCGGTGATATGAAAGTGTTGGAAAAAGCTCTAGTGAAAGGTAAGCTAATGTGCTAAGTCATCCTAAACACGTTCTTTTCTCTCAGAGAAGGCATATTCTGACGAGTTCCTGCAGAGATGTTGTGTGGACGGCATGAGGGAGATTCCCATGCCGTATTCCTGCTACCGTCGCTCCCTCTACATCACCGAGGACTGGAGCTGTGTGTTGGCTTTCCTTCGCTGTTGTGCGGAGTACAGAGGGGAGGAGCTCTGTGTCGTTACCAGACCCCCGACAACCACCTCTCCACCAACCACCACCCCTGTACACACCACCAGAGCCCACAAGATTCTCATGGATTTCGTTAGGGAACGTGATGTTTATCTTGCTCAAGCCAGGCCAGTGCTTATTGGTCTTGCTGGGCGTATGGGATCTAACGTCGTTGCAGCGCGTGAGGACAGTTATGATGAAAACATCGGAGAAGAAGAAGAGGAAGGGGAGGTGGAAGAGTTCGATGAAGATGATTTAGCTGACTTAGAGGACATTTATGTGCGCAGCAAGTTCTTCGAGTCGTGGCTGTGGACCGACATCAGGCTACCCAGTGTCACCAAGTCTGATGGGTAGGAGTTTGACCTTTGACTCAGTATAGATGTCTCACTTTTATCATGTTCAGTGATGCAAGTGTCTCTCCATGCTTTTATTCCAGGTTGGCTGTATTTCCAGTAAACACTGTTCTTCCTGACAGCATCACTCAGTGGGGGTTTCTAGCCGTCAGTGCTTCACCTCGGACAGGTAAACAGCTCTGTGTGGCAGAGCTTCTTCAAAACCACAGATAGCAGAATCTAAATCTCTTGCACTCTTTTTCTAGTGCAGCCAAACAATAGAGCGCAATTGCTTTTATACAAGTTCTATAAGCTAGAGAAGAATATAGCCAATATTGTTTTCTTACAACTGATACAGATTGTTTTTGTGTGTGTTTTAAGTGTCCTGTTACTTGAAATGCAGAATCCATTTTAAATTATTTTATTTCTGTCACAACGGCTAAATAGTTACAATCAAAAGATATGAATTGCAAATATTATTTTAATAATTATTTAGCTTTTATTACTACATGTCAAGAATTTTTTATATTTTAATTATTATTATTTAACTTTTAATAGTACATGATGAGCATTTTTGCATATGAACTGTGAATATAATAACATTTAGATTTTAATGCTACATTTCAAATTATGTATATTTTATTAATAATTATTTAGCTTTTAATCCTAAATGTCAAGCATTTCTGCATATGAATTTTGAGTGTTTTAATAATTATTTAACTTTTAATAGTGCACGTTGAGCATTTTTGCATAGGAACTATAAATATATTAACATCTATTTAGCTTTATTGCTACTTGTCATGAATTACAGATATTTTATTAATAATTATTTATCTTTTAATTCTAAATGTCGAGCATTTTTGCATATGAGCTATGAATATATTAACATTTATTTAGATTTTAATGCAACATTTCATGAATTTATATATTTTTAAAATATTTTTCATGAATGTATATTTTATTAATAATTATTTAGCTTTCAATTCTACAGCATTTCTGCATATGAATTATGAATATTTTCATATTAGGTATTTAGCTTTAAATTCTACATGTTAAGTCTATCTGCATATGAATTGCAAATATTTTTTATTAATAGTTATTTAGCTTAAAATGCAACACGTTGGATATATCTACATATGAATTACAAATATTTTATCATTAATTATTTAGCTTTTAATGCTACATGTCAAGCATTTCTGCATATGAATTGAAAATTATTTTTATTAAGTTATTTAGATTTTAAAGGGGTCATATGATGCTGCTAAAAATAACATTATTTTGTGTATTTGGTGTAATGAAATGTGTTTATGCGGTTTAAAGTAAAAAAAAACACATTATTTTCCACATAATGTACATTATTGTTTCTCCTCTATGCCCCGCCTTTCTGAAACGCGTCGATTTTTACAAAGCTCATCGGTCTGAAAAAGCGAGGTGTGCTCTGATTGGCCAGATATCCAGTGCATTGTGATTGGCCGAATACCTCAAGCGTGAGACGGAAATGTTACGCCCCTCACCATACTGTGATGCCGTGTCCGGCCGGAGCAACGACACAAAAACATGAAAACCCATTACAAACGAGGCATTTGTTGCATCCAGTGGGGACATAATTACAGATTATAATGACTTATACTATCGTTTTACGCGTTGCGTTGCATTGCGCCGCGTAAACATAAAACCATGTCTGCATTTGTGATCAGAGAAATGACAAACAACAAGTGCTAACGTTAATCCACACTGCCCAAAACTCGCGTTTGAATCATCAGTGGCAAATCCTTCAAATGAAAACGTACTTACAGTCTGTGAGTCACAACAGCCGGCATTGTAGTCTACTCTACCAGGATCAGGAAACAGTCCTCCATAAAATGCACTGCACACATCTGAATATTTGGGTTGAAGTGTTCTGGAACAGTGTTGTAAATACAACTTAACCACTGATTTCTAGTCGTGTCCTCTTTTGGAAGACCAAACAAAGTAGCTTCGCTTTCACAACGAAGCACACAGCGTCTTCAGGACATGGCTGCAGCGTCTACAATACTACAGCGAGAATAAAAGTTACGCTTTCTTTCTTTGCGTGAACATTTGGGCTGTGTTATGCAAATCTTCCCACATCGTGACGTAGGTATGTGGGGGCGTGTTAGAACGAGCCGTTTTAGGCAGGCGTGGTTGACTCTTAACTTTTATAAAGAATATCTCTTTGGTTTTGAGACTTTAGTCTTTGCAACTTTACAGATCTTCTTTATGCACCAAGAGCTTGTAACACTCCAAAGAGAAAGGAAAAACTGAAATCGCATCATATGACCCCTTTAATGCAAAATGTGAAGTATATTTACATATGAATTACCCATTTTATTATTACATATTTATTGTTACATTTTATTATTATTAATTCATTTGCTTTTAATACATTAAGCATTTCTGCATATGACTTAATGAATATTTTAATAATAGTTATTTAGCTTTTAATGCAACATGTCAAGTCTATCTGCATATGAATTGCAAATATTTTATTAATAGTTATTTAGCTTTTAATGCTACGTCAAGCATTTCTGCATATGAATTAAAATATTTTTATTCATAGTTATTTAGCTTTTAATTCTACGTCAAGCATTTTTGCATATGAATTAAAAATATTTTTTATTATGTTTAATTAGTGTTTAACAATATTAACAACATTGACGAGAAAAATAAATAAAAAGCATTTGACTGTATAATTTTAGTAGCTTTAAAAAAACGTATAAAAAAGGAATTGTCAAAATTATTGTCCCTGAGAATGAGATTGAGAATGAGATTATTCCTGGTTTGTGACCGTCTTACAGGTTTCTGTGTAGCTGAACCGTATAATGTCCGGGCGTCAAAGTCGTTCTTCATAGATCTGCGGCTGCCTCACTCAGTGTCCAGAAATGAACATGTGGAAATCAAAGCTGTGGTGCACAACTACAGGAACTCAACACTAGAGGTCAGTTTCACAACATCACAAAACAACCACTCTTTAGTTTATTTTATGTCCTGACTTGGACACTGTATCTGTTTGCAGGTCTTGGTAATTCTGGAGAAGACAGAGGACATGTGCAGCGTGGCATTTAGTGGACAGCACAGACAGCAGGTTTCGGTACCGGCCGGCTCCTCCAAGCTGATTTCATACACCATCATCCCTCTTAAAACAGGAGAGCTCCCTCTACAGGTCACAGCCGTCGCAGCCTCCTTCATGGGGCAGGATGCAGTGAGGAAGAATCTGCGTGTGGTAGTAAGTGAGCTCCTAAAACCTGCTCTCTCTCACGCCTCACGCATAATATTAGAAACATATTATATATGACGATAAATCTTGTGTTTTAGGTCGAAGGCATCCAGACAATTAAAGTGAGGAGCTTTGTGCTGAACCCCTCTGAGAAAGGAGGCAGCGGTAAGACTGGCTGGAAATAATGAGTTTAAATGTGATAAATGTAATGGCAAAAAATAAATAAAAAATCTATTAATTTTTAAAAAGTCAGTTTTATATAACAGTATAAATTTAATAAAATTTAGAGTATCAAGATTTAATTAAATAATAATTATATATAACTATATAATATAAATGGGTCTTTAAGCATGAAAGCATGATATAAAAAATATGTGTGTGTGTATAATTTTATAATAAATATATTAAACATAAAACTATACCCAGCAGGCATACAATGTCATAAGACATTAATATTTCCAAAATTCAATGTTAATTCAACATCTAATGTCAATGTTAATTTGATGTCCAATACCGACGTCAGCTTACGTTGATATTTGTTGTTTTTAGGTTGTGTAGCCAAAATCCAACATTAAGTCAACATCAAATTGGCGTTAAATACTGACGTCAATCCAATTTTCATTCTCAGCCAAAATGCAACGTCTGTCTGACATCATGTCCAACATCAACCTAACGTTATATTGACGTCCTGTGCCTGCTGAGTATACACACAAACAATATCATGCTCTTAACCTTTCCCCACAGAGTGCTACACAGTATATATGGGACGTTATGCATAAAAAATATGTATAAGTACTAAAATAATAAATGTAAATTGTACAAAATCATGCATAAAAATATTACATATTTATTATAATTTGTATTATGTATAGTACTATGTATAATCTCTCTCTATCTCTCTATATATTAGCAATATCACACTCGTAACCAAGTGATATGGCTGTATATAAGCACAGCTACGAGTGTGATATTGTGTTTATATGACAGTTCAATGGCACAAGTGTGTAAATGAAAAAGAGACAACAACAGTGTCTTTAAAAACCCTCTTTTGTACAGAACTACTTCCTTCCGCCACGGATTCAAATGTAAAGTTGACTGTTGAACAGCTGAGCCCAAGCCTCCATTACTAATTCCAAAACGTCAATTTAGAATTAGTAATGAAGGAACGTTAAGTTTATTGTATTACTGTATTAGAAGCTCACTGTATTATGTAAAGTATTATGAGAGACTGATGGACTGAGCAAGTGTGATTACCTGCATCTGCATCTGAGCATTCATTCTTCAGATCAATCTCATATTCACAATAAAACATTAGTTTGAATGTCCGCTGAGGAAAAGCGATATTTTTTTCGTACTTTCATCTGTTAAGGGTGATTTCTGATGACTGCTATCTATCTATCTATCTATCTATCTATCTATCTATCTCTCTGTCTGATGTATGTATATTTGTGTGTGTATGTGTAATAATTCATTAATTATATGCTTTCATTTATATAATAATAAAGCATTTAATTTATAAAGTGCTTTTACTCAAAAGTGCAACTGTACAAAGAATCATATAATAAAACATGCTAAATACAATTATACAATTATAAGCAGATGTAAAATGTCCTTAGAGACCTCTTAAAACAAGCCAACACTGGGGAATTTTTATATTTATTTTGTTATATATATTTGTTTATATATTTGTTGTTGTTTTCCTCATCTCAGCTGGTAGACAGCAGATAGAAGTGGAGAAGATGCAGTTGGACGCCGTTGTGCCAAAATCTCTGCCGGAGACATTTGTCAATGTCAGAGGTGTGACATTTTATTAAGCCATATTCATAACATCATAGTAATTGAGTATTATCCCTCAATTACATTATGGATATTTGATTGTCATGTTAATATGTCGACTGTCAAGAATTTCTCAGTTTGTTTTTTAAATGTCATTTCTTCAGGTGATTTGCTGGCAGACAGCATTGATAATTCTATTAAGGAGGACTCTCTGGCAGCGTTGATCCGGATGCCCGGCGGGTGTGTGGAGCAGAACCTGGCCAGAATCACGCTGCCCCTCATTGCCACCCATTACCTGGACCGCAGTGGAAACTGGGACGCTGTGGGAATAGATCGCAGACAAGAGGCCATCAAATACACTCAGACAGGTGCAATGAGACTCAAATAGGGATGAACATCACCATTCATTCAGATATTTTTCCAATAAATTATTTTTTCATACTCAGGGTATGAAAATCAGCTTAATTACCGGAAAAAGGATGACTCGTATCCTCCCTACGCCAAAGAAGGCACCAGCACATGGTATTAATGCCAGCACATCACTGATCACAGCTTCACGTTGAACATTCCCCTGTAGAGCTCATCTGTTTTTTGTCCATCTCAGGATCACTGCATACGTGGTGAAGGTTTTCTCCATGGCAAAATCATTTATTAGCGTCAATGAGAAGCATCTGTGTGGCCCTCTGGTGTACCTGCTCAAGAATAAACAGCGTCCTGATGGATCCTTTCAGGAGGACAATCCTGTCTACGACACCAGTATGACGGTGAGAGTTCATAACTGTGATTGCATTAATTGGAGTAGTTTCACAATAATCAATGAAAGGGTACAATACTAACACATGTTGTATGTTCGCTGTGTTGTGATACAGGGAGGCCTGCAAGGCTCTGAATCCAGAATGTCTCTGACCGCATTCGTGCTCATTGCTTTGGCAGAGGCACAAAATGCTGTTATTTGCCAAGAGCCAGATCTTGACATACAGGTAACTTCAGTCTTTACTCTTTAAAATTGCTAAAAACATCTGAATTAAACAATAGCTAAATTAAATAATTAGAATAAAAGCTAAATTAAATGATAAGATAAAAAGATAAATTGAATAAGAATTAAATAAAATAATACAGTTTGGATTGGTGGTATGGTTCTGTTCTGGGCAAGAACTCCCTGCGCATCCATGCAGCCTAGCATGGATAATAGCATGGAGAAGCAGCAATAACCCTCCTAGGGTAACAGAACAGAACCAGCATAAATGTATTGCAGAGATCATTAATGTTCAAATAATTTAATGTACACATTTTAGAAATTAGCCTGATCCAAAAGAGAATCAGAAGGCTGAATCCTGACTGGATGAAAGGAGGAATTGGGGATGGAGAAGGGTCATTAGTTATTGAGCAACGCAAAATCTGCTGATAATACTGAAGGACCTTAAATATGAATGCTGAGATAGGCGTCATATTCCTATAGGTAGACGTGGATCAGCTGAGAGTCAGCTGATGCAAGCTTGACTAACGTGACCTGCCAGAACTAATGCTACGCTTGATAATTAGGACAAGAGAAAAAGTAAATAATTGGAACTAAAGAGAAATTAAATGGTTGAAACAGTAGCTGAAATTAAACAATTGTACATTTTGTCTAATATATGAAATACATATAATTTTTATTATATAAACAGTAAATTAAGTTAAAATTTTACTTTGTCAAAAAAGAAAATACAACAAAGTTAAGAACATTTTAACCTTTTTTATTTTTTTTAGGAAAATATTTAGCAGCTTTTACAAAAAGCACCTTATTCAGTGTACCCACAATACTGAAGGGAGATCCACCAATTAAAAAAAATAAATAAATAATGATAATAAAAAAGCCCACTTTTTCAGCATCCTTCATACCTGAAGTATGTTTCCCAGTTTCCTCAGAAAATCTAATATTAAGTAAACAAAGGTACAAAACTAATTCATGTTGTATTACCAGGCCCAGTGGACTACTGTATTATAAACATGTTCTTACATGTTCAGTGGTGCTGATTTTATTTTCTCCATTTAATTGTTGCAGGACAAGTCCAGAAAATCAGCGTTGTATCTAAGGGAGCATTTTGCCCGGGTGAAGAGGCCGTACACAGCGGCTATAGCATGCTACGCTTTAGCAGTATCCAACCACGGCTGCATGAAGAGCATGTTACTAAATTTAGCCTCGCCTGGTACTTAGCCTTTGGAAACAAAAAATATCTAGCTCTGTATTGTCCTGTCTTTCTCATCTTTCTTTATTTTCTATCAACAGATCGTACCCACTGGCCTGACTCTAGTAATTATTTCTTCATGCTGGAAGCTACTGGCTATGCATTGTTAGCGCTGATCAAAGGTGGCCACATGGAAGAGGCAGCCGCCCCCTTTCGATGGCTGAACGAGAAGCGTGGCATTGGAGGAGGATACGGCTCTACACAGGTAAAAACTACAAGAAAACCTTCACTAATTGTCTCATATTTGTATTTGAGGTACGTTAATGTTCATTTTTCTCCCATCAGTCCACTATGGTGGTGCTACAGGCCCTGTCTGAGTACCTGGTGAAGAGGCCTCCTTCTGACGACCTCAATATGTTGGTGCAGCTCAGTGTTCCTGGTCGCAGTGACGTACGCTGGACCTTCAATCAAAAAGTGGCATATGTGGCCCGATCTTCACGGGTGCGATCTTTTGTCTTTCAAACTCTGGAGTTATTATCAGTGTTGGGGGTAATATGGAGTTAGGTAATCTGATTACTTTTTAAAGTAACTAGTAAAGTAATGCATTAAGTTCAAATAAGTAGTGCCAGTTACATAGTTTTCCCATTTATTGATTGACAGCTCTCCTGTCCCCATGTTGAGAAATTGTAAGTGCAGAGGCGTTGTTTGCGGTGTGTGAACATGATGCTTACTGTAGTTCTAGACTAAACTGCTGACCTTTGATCATCCAATAAGATAAGATAAGAAATGCATTACTTTCCATTAAAAAGTAGCGTGATTAGTTCCTTGTTTTGGGGAGTAAATCAATATTGTAATGCATTACTTTTAAAAGTAACTTTCCCCTACAGTGGTTATTATACTGCCAAATGTTGGAAGCACATTATTGTAACTCAAAAGTACAATCAAGTAATGCATGAGTGCGAATTTCCTTCACTCCTGCTCAAAAATGGACATACGTTTTTAAATATACAGAGCTCTCTTATGTATTTATCTTGATCAGATATTGTGTGTCCCAGCCAATCAGAATAGGCTTCCACGATTGACCAATGAAAATACCATATGAAATCTTATTGGATGAGAGTGAACTGGAATAAAGGTTACATCTCTCTGGTTCCCTTTGACTTTTTGGATTATTGCAGACAATAAGCTGAAGTTTATGAACTCAACTTTTATGACTTGTGAAGCCTAAATACACTCCCAAGTCACTTGACTGTAACTTCACCACCATTAAGCTTCAACAACTCTTTCAGTCTTTATTTAAAAACATTTTCCTGAAAGTTTGAGTTTGCATAGTTTGCAAGAGTGTGATTATAAACACAATGAGGCTGTGAGGCAGATTAATGAGTAGATGAGTTTACCTGTTTGTCATGAGGACGTTTAATGTCCAGACAACCTCTGTAGTCCCATTTTGCCACTTGTTCACAATTGCCTTTTACAATACAAGTAGGAAAATAAATATATGAAATAGGAAAATATGAATGTGAGCTGAGAGATTCATGCTGATCTATTACATGGATGTATTCTTGCATTATATTTGGCAGTATAATAACGCTATAGATAAAAGAAAGGAAGTTTGGAGTAAAATATAGTAACTCAATTTTATTATCTCTTCCAGGTGCCTCTTGACCAGAAATTCACAGTGGAGGCTTCTGGGAAGGGCAAGGGAGTTTTGGAGGTACTACATGCCCACATCTACACCAAAGTATTGAATTAGAATATAAAATCAAGACGTAATTTAGTTATAAAACTTTCTCTGTCACATTTTATGCATTTCAGGTAGTGACGGTGTACCACCAGCTTCCTGATGTGTATGAGAACAGCACATGTAACGGCTTTCAGCTGGACGTCTCCATCGCTGAGACTAATGGTGCGTTTTATGATTTATGATATGTAATAGATCTACTGGGACAATGACATGTAATTTTATAGTAAAATACTGTTTAAAGGATTAGTTCACTTTCAAATTAAAATTTCCTGATAATTTACTCACCCCCATGTTCATGCATTCACGGAATACGTAATTACGTTGAAAAGGTCACGCTTGACGTAGGCGGAAGTTAGGTTTCAAAAGATTTAAACATCCAGAATACGCACACGAAGTGACCATTTTAAACGATAAACTGACACAAAGACATTTGAATATGTGTCACTGAACATACAACAACTTTTGAACGGTCCTCCTTCTCCACATTTGTAAACACTGACTGTCGGTACTTCCGCCTACGTCAAGCATGACCTTTTCAACATAATTACGTATTCCGTGAAGTCATGGACGCGCATTGCAGAGCAGTGCAAGGCGTGCATTTTTGTTTATAAAGCATATACTTTTTTTTTTTTTTTATAGAATGACCGATCGTTTCTCTAGATAAGACCTCGTCTGGTATCGTGTAGAGCCCTTTGAAGCTGCACTGAAACTGTAATTTTGACCTTCAACCATTTGGTAACCATTGAAGTCCACTATAAGGAGAATAATCCTGGAATGTTTTCATCAAAATTTTTTAAAGCAATACTTTTATTCAGCAAGAATGCATTAAATTGATCAAAAGTGACAGTACAGACATTTA